ACACACACACACACACACACACACACACACACACACACACACACACACACACACACACACACAAACCCAGATCTCAGAAGCTGCTCTACACTGGGCAGGCTTACATTTGAGTGCAGCCATCTTGCTGGATGGAAACTGAGCCATCTCCTTCTCTATGTAGTACAGAACTTTCACTAAGTTCTGGTCTGGGCTCGTGGTCAGTCGGTAACCACTGCGCACTGCAGACATGGACACACACCCATACACACACATGCACGCACACAAAGACATGCAATGATTTACACAGATGCAGCTGAGGCAGACTGTGAGTTAATTCACAAACAGACGAGACATTTTTGGTTTTAGGCACATAAAATTGAGGTCAGTCAGTGTTTTGATGTTTTGAGTAAAAACACATTAATAGGAGTAAAAGTATTTCCCTGATGGTTCTTAAAATCGACAAAATGTTAATTTTAAGTTACTAATATGTGAGACTTCTGACACACCTCCTGCCAGATTATTTTCAGTCGAGGTGAGCGTAGAGATCTTTGGGTCCAGGTGGGATGAAGGAGCAAGTGGGACCACAGTCGGTACAGCAGGAATGTAGTATGGATACACGGGAACCTGAGCAGCCTGTCGACTCTTGGCCATCTTCCCCGCCTCATAAACTGCACAAATTTAAAAAATGCCCTCATGCAGAATGATTGTTCAAAGAAAATGTAAAAAAGAAAAAAACACGTGAATGTTTTTGTTCCTCACGGTGTCGTGGACAGCAGCATGTATCCGGACAGCAGCAGCAGCGGACGTAGCAGCAGCACGAGTGAGGACAACACTGGCACCAGCAGATCCCCAACAGCAGCAGGAACAGAACACTGCCCAGGACTACGGATCCCACAAACGCCCATTCTGATTTACAAAAACAGATAAATACACAGGTAAACAGTAAATACACAACTACCTCTCAAGAGAAGAAATACAACTTCAAAAAAAAATACTTTTTGTTTTTACACAGTATGCAGGAAATTTCAGGATGATATCCCGGACGAGCCCCCAAAACATTTAGGTTTTCATGCATGCTAAAATGTTACAAAATATAATAAAATGGCTATGCTAACAATTGTTAATGAACACTCACCAACTTGTTTTAGATTTGACCTTACACATCAACACAGTTATTTGTTTGACTCTGAGGTTTTAAGGTCTGTTTTTTATTGTTTCTTTAAAGCTGCTGTATGTAGTTTCTTGGGAACCCAAAAACTTAGAAAAATTTTGAACAGAAACAACCTTGTAGTCCCTCCCCCCTGCTCTCAGCTCCCCTTCCTAGGCTCCTCCCCCACAGCACGGCACAGTCGGGAGCGAGCACGCTTGTAAACGTTGGTTACGTGTTGTAACCCCAGATTCTATGAGTGTAAGCGCAGCCCTCTAAGGC